CGCTGCCCGTCTACTCATTCATGAATTCCTGGGTCACCCTCACAGCCTCACTGGTGGTCCTTCTCTCCATCGCCTCACTTCCTCTGCTCAAGAATCACTGTACATAATCATCTCTCTCACAAGCTACTCTCTACTTCCATTCATTTCAACTGTCAAATTAAACCCTGAAGTTCACAAGAACATACCTTGTCTGTTGATTTTTTTTGCAGATTTTCTGAATTGGAGACCATGGTGGTCGTCAAATTCAGTAGTAGCAGATTTGTTGGTGACTAATGGGACTATATACACGAGCGATGACTCTCTTCCCTTCGCTGATTCCATGGCCATTCTCAATGGTCGAGTTCTTCGGGTTGGAAACTATTCCTCCCTCAAGGTTATCATCTTCAATCTCCTTTTCATTCTTTTATTCAAATTACCAATTGTGATGTTGAGCTACAGGTGGTTATATATAGATGTGCATATAATTGGACTGAAAACGAAGAAATTTCTTTTATCAAACATGACGCGTGCAAGAACAACTGGCATAGACTAGACTGGGATGCCACACTTCCCACTTGCAAGAACTCGAAACCTGAAGTGGATACGAAGTTATCAAAATGACCGGTCACCACACTCACACCATATGGATACATATGCTTTATTAATGGGCTATGTCAAAATCTATGAAGTAGTGAGACTCAAAATTGACGTATCCATTTCGAATATTGTATAGGATATGATAGCCGGGCTACGAATGGATATGATAGTTGAGCTACGAATCGGATACTCACTCTATGAATTTTATGATAATATATATTTGGATCCATTGTCAATACGTGTCCACGATGCATATACTTCATAAATGAAAGTGCATACTATGGGGAACAATATGTATAATTTTTAATTTTAACTTTTGCATTTTTCTCTCGAATTCTCATATAATGAAACACATAAGAAAAAATTTATACGACTTAGAAGATTCATTGACTTTTTTAAGTATCTTCTCCTATCACATGTCAGAAGAGTATTAAACGTGTTAGTTACACCATATCTCTTGGCAATAAGATTTCTAAGCAACCCAACTAGTTAAATCTTAATTCTGATTTCTTTAGTTACCCACATTCACTTTGTGGATGTACCAATACTTTCTTCAAAGTAAAAATTACTAGTTTTTATATTATTGCCAAAAAAATTATCAGAAACTATGATTATCAAGTTTTGAGATAGTGGTAAACACATAAAAATATATTATAGAGGTACCTTGAGTGTATATGTGTCCTGATTTTGTCGTATCTTGCTCGCGACCTGTATTTTTATTAATGTTTCATAGGTCGAATCAACAAATTTTTTAAAGAAGGGGAGAAATATTTGAATTAAATAGTCAAATGAATAAGGTGTAGGAGAGAGAAAAGGGGGTTAAGTACATTTTTCAACTTTAAAGTTTGGCGCACAATGACATTTTTTTCCTGGAGTTTCGGTTGTGTTAATTTAATTGCCCAAGTTTCAAATTTGAATTTTAAGGTCAAATTGTGAAGTAAGGCCAAGCAAACGTAATGTAATTAGGTATGTTTCAGTTCATAAAGGGTCTAAATTGCTTAATTCCTGTGGTATTTTTGGAATTTAGCAATTCAAACCCTTTAGTTTGCAATAGTATTTTGGATGGAATTCTAAAAACATGCGTAATCCGACTAGGTTTTCTAGCTGTTTTTTGTAGACTGAGCATTAAAATACAAGTTTGAAACTTGAATGACTAAATTGGCGTAATTGAAACTTCGGTGGTGAAACCTGTATAGTGCCCAAGAAGTGTAGCTATTGATGGTTACTGTAAAATAGCGAATCAAGTAAATGATGTTCAACTGAGAACCAAGTTGTTTTGTCAACGCTGCTTAGGATTCCATTTGTCTGAGATTGTAAGAGGTTAGTTTGTTTAGTGAAAAATGAAAATGCAACTTGAAAGTGACAATTGAATCAAGACCTAAAATTTGCAAAGTATGTACCCATGTTTTCTGGCTTGGTTTAATTGACCAATTTGGCCTATATTATTGATTGGATTGATTAATCTTCCTACTTGTTTGGCATGTTGGTCAGCGCCAATTTTCTAGAATGACTTACACTTTTCCTCAAGCTTATCTGAGTATATTCAGTTATTTTTACTTCTTTTTTCTAAAAAGTTGGACCCTTGAGAATTATCCAATACGTAATCTCTAGAATGAAATGAGGCTTGTAGTAATCCTATCATGGCATGCAAATTTATCATTTCCAGGCAAACATGCTCAGCCCTTGTGTCATACTCTGCTGATTTTAGTTCTGTTAGGCTTATAGTCTCAAGAGTACTATGAAGTCTTTGAGGTATAACTAAATTACATCAGAGCACCTCCAAATGGTTTGGCTAAGATGGTAAGATAAAGTCATTTCAAATATGATATGATCCACCTTTTTGAACCAATTTTGTGGGTCGCATTTGCTCGGGATCTCTGTAGATGAAATCTTCGAACCACTTTCATGACATTATGTGGGAATTGATTTCATGATGCGAATTCTAATGATTTTAGAATCTTTACAAGAGGACATATATAGACCATGATGCGAAATTGCATTTGACCTTTTGATGCTAAACACATACTTTAAGCAAGAGGAATAGATTATTTGTGGACAAATTTTTGTTTCTTAAAGTGTTGATGGAGATAGGGATGAGCATTTACTGGTCTTTAGGGTTGGATCAGCTATGCTTAGGTTGGAATTCACTTCATTATCCTGTTTTTAAGCATAGGATGGTGAGTTCAATTTCAAGAAATACAAGAGCCATCTTATGAGAAGCATATACCACAGTTTATTATCTGGTGATCTTGGCAAGCATATAAAGAGATATATGGGATGATATATGTTGAATAACTGTGATTTGAGATCACAACCAAAGAATTTAAAATTGGATTATTAGGAAGTTCTGAAAAAAAGAATATACAGGAGAAAGATTTTTGTGCTGTAAAGATGACTGGTAATATAGGAGTAGTAATGGGGATCCCTAAGATCCAAGTAAGATGGCCGTGATTCCAAAAATTTCCGATTAAGATGGCCTCTTCGAAAAAATGTCAGACACTAGGAACTGGGATTCAGGAATCACTGGGCTATGTAAGAGCCTATTGGAAGGGAATAGGAAGTGCTACAGTCCTTAAAGGTTTATGTTCGATCCACGAGAATATTATGGTACAAGTCTTTTTGGTAGTTTGAGAAGTGAAATTGTGTTTGAACATACGTTGGATCATAATGGCTAATGATTTTTTAAGCTCAATGCCATGTTTACCTGGTTTTAAATTAAGAGCCTTTGATGAGAGTTATCCAACGAGATTTGAAAGTTTTAAATCTTATTAATCTAGTCTTTCTGGTGCCTGCATAAGACAGGATTTTTTGGGCATCTTTGTATCTTCTGTAGCTCTAGTATTGCAACATTTGCGCTATGTTTTCCTCTATAAGCATCCTGGTACTGTTTACCACGTGTGATGTAGATTTTATGTACTCTATCACATGTTAATAATGGCTTCTCTTTTTTGTGGGAAAATGTAGATGAATAGAATTGTAGACTGTTTTTCCTTTAATGGTATACACGTGAGTGCAGGATTTGGCTGGATATGGGACTGAAGAATTGAATCTTGAAGGAAAAGTTGTGGTTCCCGGATTTATTGATTCCCATGTGCACTTGCTTTCTGGAGGACTTCAGGTTTTGCTATGTTATCTCCCCCTTACCCTTCCCTTTAAAAATGTGCTTAAAGTTTGGCTAGAACAAGTATTTATGGAGTATTAGTTTCTAAATGAATTCTGGGTTTCATCTTTCGGATTATTATATGAACTATAAATCACTAGATTTTTGGGTGTGCACATGTATGTGCATTTATATACATATATAGACACACACACACACACACATATGGAACCAGCATCTTGGACATTCTGGGTTCAATTCTCCCTAGTGTCTCCCGAGTTGAACTACTACATGTGGGTAGTGGGTAGTTATAAGTACCCAATGATTACTCTGCAGGTGTAAGTGTAGGGGTAAGTCCAATGCGGCTTGTCTTGGAGGGGTTCAAAATTGTATATGCATGTGTGAAAGTATATGTGAAGTGAAAGGAAACATGACAGTAAATAATTTCTGTTTTCATAAATTCTGACCCTGATAGCATAAACTTCCATGGCCACAATGTTAGCAATCATACTTCTTTCTATTATGGCCTTGTATTCCAAGTGGTACCAAAGTGAGTGTGGTGTTCAATCCCTTCAATTATCCAACAAATGTTACAACCAAATTATGTCCTTAATCTATTGCAATGGAAAATTTTCAACCATCCATCATATAAGTGAAACTCGTTAGAGCATCTAACCCAAAATTAGCTGGCAATGAGTGGAGAGGCCCTTTTGTTGTATAAATCAACGTTTGATGGCCCTAATCATTCTATGTAGGATGCGAGTATTTTTTGCAAAACTTATGTGGCTAGTTGGTAGCCGGAGAGAAGGAGACGGAGGTGACCAAATTAGATGGGATTCACACCTCTGTGTATATGCTTCCAGAAAGGGAAAACAAGAGAGAGAAACATGATTTGACCAATAGATCCCCCCACGAAACGCTTCCACTTGGGTATATTTGAACCTAGGTTAAATTACGTTTTGGTTTGGAAAATTAAGTCTAAGGGGTAATTTGACCAAATGAAGATGTTTGAGTAACTTGATCTTTATTTGTTGTCTAGATTGGTTACTGATTTTTTTGGGCAAATCCCACTTTACTTGAATGGTTTGGGGACAAATCTGAACCATTGACACCATTAATTGTAATGGAAAAATGACCTTGATATGATACCCTCACCATGTCTCTGTCTCACGATCTGCCTCTCTTACATGAAAACAGATGGCGCAGGTGGAACTCCGAGGTATGAATAGAAAAGATGAGTTTGTCATAAAGGTCAAAGAAGCAGTAGCAAGTAAGCTTTCTTGTTGATGCATGCATCATTATTTTCAATGCCTCTTCTGGACCCGCGTGTGTTTCAGAGTGAATCTTATCTTGGAATTCTATACTATAGAGGAAGCATACTTTTGTTAAACATTAACTAGTTGGCTTTACCTAGTGATTTCATAAACATTCCTTATTGCTTTTATCAGCCCTTGATTGCCTTGATGGAAAGAAGTTTAATTTAGAGCTAAATAATGTTTCTTGATTGACAAAAGTTTAAAAGGTAAATATGCGAAAGAGGGAGCTACAGGGTTTAAAGAACCTGCCAATATCATTATGCAACATCTTTTACTTGGTAATGACGGGCTTTAGCTGTTTCTGTATCCCTTCTTCCATCATCGTTCTGTAACTGTTAACCGTTACAGCCTGTTCTGATATTCTTTTTTGCTTTCGATAAATATCTGCTCCGATATTCTACCGGGCATCTTTCACATACAGCACTTTCAGACATAACTTCTTTTCTTTAGTTTTTAACGAAAGAAAAAAAATTATAATTTCTCTTAATTAAGAAACTCTATTTCCCAATTAGATCTACATTTTCTAGTGATCAAATGGCAAGGTCTAAGCTCAAGCCTTAAATTGAAGAGCTCGGGACTGGCAAAGTTAGAAATTTTAAGGTGGGGCACACAATTATACAATTGCACCAGGATGGTAGAGTGACCGTATCTTTCTAAACTCATGATTGCTCCATAGTAGTTGTTATGCTAACCTTGAATGTAGGTAAATGTTGTCATAAGTAGAATACTAAACTAGCATCTACTTGTAAACAAATACAAAAGTCAATACCAGTAGCAAAGTATGTCCTTAGGTATCATAAAATTCACTTAGTGCCATAAGACTTCCACAACATTTCATCAAGAAATGTTTTTTAGGGTTGTCTAGTGAAGAATTAGAGAAACTGAATGTTTCATAGATACCTCGTAAAGTGTACAAGGTAGCCCTATTTAAAGGGATAAACTTAACCTGATAACAATCAGATCAGAATATAACTCCTATATACGAGGTTCTGTTTAAACTCAAATTTAAAAATATCTACACCACAACACTCCTAGAATTACACGTGTTTTTCCACACTCCCCTCAAGATGGTTCATACACATCGTAAAGACCCAGCTTGCTCACTAAATCTTCGAATGTCTATTTCTGCAACCCTTTTGTAAACAAATCAGCTGGCTGTTCTTTTGTAGGGACATAAAGCATACAGACAACTCCTTCTTCTAACTTCTCCTCAATGAAATGTCTATCAATTTCAATATGTTTCGTCCTGTTGAACAGGATTGTGACAAATGTTAATTGCTGCCTTGTTGTTGCAGAAAAGCTTCATAGGTCCTTCAACTTTGATACCCATTTCTTCGACTAGCTTTTTAAGCCACAACAGTTCACATATACCTTGAGCTGCAGCCCTTAATTCTGCCTCAACGCTATTTCGCACCACAACAGTTTGTTTTTTACTTCGCCAAGAGACCAGATTACCTGCCACATATGTACCGAAACCTGTTGTTGATACATCCAGCCCAATTTGAATCTGTATAAGTTTCAATCTTTAATGGGTGCTGATTAGTAAAAGCAATCCTCTACCAGGTGTTCTCTTCAAATACCTTAAAATCTTATACACAGCTTCCAGATGTTCGTCTGTTGGAGAGTGCATGTGTTGACTGACCACACTAACTGAGAAGGCGATATTGGGTTTGGTGTGAGATAGATAGATGAGTTTCCCGACTAGTCGTTGATATCTCTCCTTATTGGTATGTTTCTTATCTCCAGTATCCTTCTGTTTAAAGTTTGGTTCAATAGGAACCTCACTAGACCTACATCTTAGCATTTCGACCTCCTTGAGTAGATCCAGCGTATACTTCCTTTGCGTGATTGTAATACCCAATTTTGATCTTGCTACTTCCATTCCTAAGAAATACTTCAAATATCCAAGATCTTTGATTTCGAATTCCTTCCGAAGATACTCCTTAACCTCTTGAACACCTTTACTATCATTACCTGTCACTATTATGTTGTCAACCTATACGATTAACACAGTGATTCTCCCTGCTAAATACTTTAGAAACAGTGTGTGGTCAGCTTGACTTTGTGCAAACCCGAAGCCTTTTATTGCCTTTGAAAATCTGTCAAATCAGGCCTTTGGTGATTGCTTTAGACCATATAGTGATCTTTTTAGTCGGCATACGCTGTCCTTTCCGTAGTGTTTCTCAAATCCTGGGGGGAGTGACATATACACCTCTTCTACTAGCTGTCCGTTAAGAAAAACATTTTTTACGTCAAGCTGGTGGAGTGGTCAATCTTGATTTGCTGCTATAGACATGATCACGCTGACTGTGTTCATCTTTGCTACGGGTGCAAAAGGTCTCCTGGTAGTCGATGCCATAAGTCTGTGTGTACCCTTTGGCAACCAGCCATGCTTTGTAACGGTCAATCAATCCATCAGCCTAGTATTTGAGAGTGAAAACCCATTTACAGCCAACAGGAACCTTGCCTTCTCTCGATTTAACAATCTCTCAGGTTCCAGTTTTTTCCAATGCCTTCATCTCCTCCATTACAGCCGCACGCCATTCTTGTTTTTCCAAAGCTTCTTCAATATTCCTGGTTATTTCTGCAGAAGCCAGATTGAGGACAAAAGACAAATAGACAGGAGATAATCTGTGATATGAGGTATATTTAGCAATGGGATGTTGTGTGCAGGTTCTTACTCCTTTTCTGGTTGCTATGGGTAGATTTAGATCAGTACCTTTTGCGTTTGATTCCTCAATCTCGGTTGAAGGATTGAGCATTATTGGTATGGGTTGAAAGGTCTGCATTATTCTGTTAGGATTTTTTTGNACTATACGATTAACACAGTGATTCTCCCTGCTAAATACTTTAGAAACAGTGTGTGGTCAGCTTGACTTTGTGCAAACCCGAAGCCTTTTATTGCCTTTGAAAATCTGTCAAATCAGGCCTTTGGTGATTGCTTTAGACCATATAGTGATCTTTTTAGTCGGCATACGCTGTCCTTTCCGTAGTGTTTCTCAAATCCTGGGGGGAGTGACATATACACCTCTTCTACTAGCTGTCCGTTAAGAAAAACATTTTTTACGTCAAGCTGGTGGAGTGGTCAATCTTGATTTGCTGCTATAGACATGATCACGCTGACTGTGTTCATCTTTGCTACGGGTGCAAAAGGTCTCCTGGTAGTCGATGCCATAAGTCTGTGTGTACCCTTTGGCAACCAGCCATGCTTTGTAACGGTCAATCAATCCATCAGCCTAGTATTTGAGAGTGAAAACCCATTTACAGCCAACAGGAACCTTGCCTTCTCTCGATTTAACAATCTCTCAGGTTCCAGTTTTTTCCAATGCCTTCATCTCCTCCATTACAGCCGCACGCCACTCTTGTTTTTCCAAAGCTTCTTCAATATTCCTGGTTATTTCTGCAGAAGCCAGATTGAGGACAAAAGATAAATAGACAGGAGATAATCTGTGATATGAGGTATATTTAGCAATGGGATGTTGTGTGCAGGTTCTTACTCCTTTTCTGGTTGCTATGGGTAGATTTAGATCAGTACCTTTTGCGTTTGATTCCTCAATCTCGGTTGAAGGATTGAGCATTATTGGTATGGGTTGAAAGGTCTGCATTATTCTGTTAGGATTTTTTTGCCTTGTATAAACACGAAGTTCAGGGCAGTTAGACTCCTCCCCCTCTTTGCAATTTTCTAGCACCGGGATTGAAACAGAATTTTTTGGAATTTTTGGAGAAATATCTGCCAAGTTCCTAAGATTTTTTGAATTTTCAGTTTGCTGATTTGTTTGAAGGACTAAAAAATCTGAATTTGAGTTTTGGTTTAGAGAGATTGGTGGAGAAGTTGGGTGTCATTCGAATTTTGAACTGTAGAGAAATTTGGAGAGATTTGAGGCTCATTTGAGTTTTGAAATGAAGAGATATTTGGAAATAGTTTTGCTGATTCTGATTCCCAAAAATTTATCTTCCGATTCGAATTGTGAGCTTATCTCCCCTTAAAAGAGGAGTTTTGAAGAAATAAGGAAGATTTTCAAAAATTGTGACATTGGCTGACACAGAATTTTTTAGAGATGGGATCAAAACACTTGTATCCTTTTTGAGTAGGAGAGTAGCCCAAAAAAACACACTTAATGGCCTTAGGATCAAGTTTGCTTCGAAATTGACCGTGAATATGGACGAAGGCTTGGCAGCCAAATGTTTTTAGGGGTAAAGAGTGTAATAACTTTGTATTTGGATAGAATTTTTTAAATATTTGAATGGGTGTTTGAAAATTGAGAACTTTAGATGACATACGATTAATTAAGTATGCAGCAGTCAAAACAGCTTCCCCCCAAAGATATTTTGGAACTTGATAGGTAAACATTAATGCCCTAGCCACTTCTAAGAGATGCTGATTTTTTCTTTCGGCGAGACCATTTTGTTGAGGACTATTGACACAGGAGGATTGATGAATGACTCCTTTTTCAGATAAAAAATTACCGAGTACATTAGAGAAATATTCACGACCATTATCCGTTCGAAAAAGTTGAATAGAAACACCAAATTGGGTTTTAATCATGTTGTAAAAATTTTGAAAGTACTGAAATGTTTCAGATTTGTCTTTTAATAGGTATATCCATGTCAAACGAGTATGAGCATCAATAAAAGATAAAAACCATCTTGTACCCGAAATATTTGTCACACGGGATGGACCCTAAAGATCACTATGAATAAGATTGAAAGGCGAAGATTTTTCATAAATTTTTTAGCGGAAATGTTCTCTATGATGTTTTGCAAGTTCACAAATCTCACATTGAAATAGAGAAGGATCTTTATTAGAAAATAAAACAGGAACCAATTTTGCTAAATAATGAAAACTGGGATGTCCTAATCTACGGTGCCATAACATGATTTTATCTTCTTGAAGAGAAGTGGAGGCTTTATTTGCGACTTGAACTTGTCTACCTACGTTTGATCCTTCTTCAAAATAATACAGACCATTCTCCAACCTAGCACTACCAATCCTCTTCCCCGAGATCAAGTCCTGAAACTCACAGTAGGTAGGATAAAAGTTATCAACACAGTTTTGGTCTTTAGTAAATTTGCTAACAGAAAACAAGTTACAGGTAAGTTTGGGAACATGTAACACAGAATTAAGGTCAAGATTTTGAGAGATAGGAATTTTCCCTTTTCTTGCTATGGCTGATAGAGATCCATCAGCTATTCTAACTTTGATATTTNAAGTTTGGGAACATGTAACACAGAATTAAGGTCAAGATTTTGAGAGATAGGAATTTTTCCTTTTCTTGCTATGGCTAATAGAGATCCATCANATTTGTCTTTTAATAGGTATATCCATGTCAAACGAGTATGAGCATCAATAAAAGATAAAAACCATCTTGTACCCGAAATATTTGTCACACGGGATGGACCCTAAAGATCACTATAAATAAGATTGAAAGGCGAAGATTTTTCATAAATTTTTTAGCGGAAATGTTCTCTATGATGTTTTGCAAGTTCACAAATCTCACATTGAAATAGAGAAGGATCTTTATTAGAAAATAAAACAGGAACCAATTTTGCTAAATAATGAAAACTGGGATGTCCTAATCTACGGTGCCATAACATGATTTTATCTTCTTGAAGAGAAGTGGAGGCTTTATTTGCGACTTGAACTTGTCTACCTAAGTTTGATCCTTCTTCAAAATAATACAGACCATTCTCCAACCTAGCACTGCCAATCCTCTTCCCCGAGATCAAGTCCTGAAATTCACAGTAGGTAGGATAAAAGTTAGCAACACAGTTTTGGTCTTTAGTAAATTTGCTAACAGAAAACAAGTTATAGGTAAGTTTGGGAACATGTAACACAGAATTAAGGGCAAGATTGTGAGAGAGAGGAATTTTTCCTTTTCCTGCTATGGCTAATAGAGATCCATCAGCTATTCTAACTTTGATATTACCCGGACAGGGAGAATAGGAGGTAAACAGATTAGATAAACCAGTCATATGGTCAGACGCCCTTGAATCTATTATCCAAGGGACACAAGGGTTGTTTGTCATACCTGCTAAGGAGTAAGACAGATTAGGAGTGGATGCAGCTGGCATTTTGGTCTTCTGAATCAGGTCTTGAAGAAGATCCCATTGTTCCTTGGAGATGACTGAGTCTTGAGAACCAGTCTGCGAGCCTGAATGAACAGACTGGGTATCTTCAGTGACATAAAGAGCACGATTATTGCTCTCGGCGGGCTTATTGTTCTTCAGGTGCGCTGGTTTACCATGCAGCTTCCAACAGGTTTCTTTGGTATGACCTATTTTGTGACAATGGTCACACCAAGGGCGTCTATTATCATTCCTTCGATTGTAACGCTGTTGAGTTGTTAGAGTAGAGTCGGTAGCCAATGCAGATTTATCGATAGATAGAGTGGGCTAATTTCCTCCCATCATCACGAACTTGCGGCTTTCTTCCCAGCGAACAGTAGCAAAGACTTCGGAAATGGAAGGCAGGGGTTCTCTTCCAATTATTCGTCCCCGCACATCGTCTAAGTCTCGGTTGAGGCCAATCAGAAACTCAAAGATGCGCTCTTGTTCATGCATCTTGCTGTACAGCGTACTGTCAGCAGCGCACTCCCATTTCACCTGTCGGTATTGATCTGCTTCTTGCCATAAACCTTTGAGAATTCTGTAATATTGAGTGACTGAGAGCTCTCCCTGTCTGATTCGGCGGATCCTTTGAGTGACCTCAAATAGCTGTGCAGCATTACCAGCATCAAAGTAAGTTTCGGCAGCGGCTTTCCATATGGCTTTGGTAGTAGGAAGAAACAGATATAATCGACCTATATCTGGTTCCATAGAGTTGATCAACCAAGCCATCAACAGGGAGTTTTCGGCCTCCCACGTAGGATATGAAGGATCTGATTCTGGCGAAACTGTAGTGGTGCCGGAGAGATAGTCGTATCTCCCTCGACCTCGGACAAACATGATGACAGAACGGGACCATGGCAGATAGTTCTGCCCATTTAGCTTGTGTGAGGTGATTTGTAGTGAGGGGTTTTCGGCTGGAGGAGCATGATGAGGTGCTGTTTGGGGAATAGCAGAAGGAAAGGAATTTGTTTTAGGGCTTTTGGCAGTATTATCACCTGAAAGATCAGACATGGTGTTTGGTTGGTATGACGGTTGGGTTAGGGACTCTCTGGTTTTCTCTCAACTTTTCTGGATAGGGAGCAGTTCAGCTCTGATACCATGAAGAATTAGAGAAACTGAATGTTTCATCGATAACTCGTAAAGTGTACAAGGTTGCCCTATTTAAAGGGATAAACTTAACCCGATAACAATCACATCAGAATATAACTCCTATATACAAGGCTTNGGAGCAGTTCAGCTCTGATACCATGAAGAATTAGAGAAACTGAATGTTTCATCGATACCTCGTAAAGTGTACAAGGTTGCCCTATTTAAAGGGGTAAACTTAACCCGATAACAATCACATCAGAATATAACTCCTATATACAAGGCTCTGTTTAAATTCAAATTTAAAAATATCTACACCACAACACTCCTAGAATTACACATGTTTTCCCACATCTAGATTCAAGATTCTGCCTTTGGATACCATCTCATAATTTATAGCATTTGATTTTATAATGTTGTTTGAACAAACTTTCTAGATATGAAACCTGGTTCTTGGGTATTGGGTGGTGGGTGGAACAACGATCTTTGGGGAGGAGAGTTGCCAATGGCCTCATGGATCGATGATTTTACTCCTCACAATCCTGTAAGAAGTCTTTTGTCATTAATTCTTTGGACTTTTGATAATTTATACCGGCTGGTTACATTTTCGATGTATCTTCATATGCAGGTTTGGATATCAAGGATGGCTGGTCACATGGGCTTGGCCAATTCATTGGCACTGAAAATTGCACAGATTACTAACAGTACAGAAGATCCAATTGGTGGAGCTATTACGAGAAACAGTAGTGGAGGTAAATTCAGTTGCATCTTTGTATTTAAGGTCCTTAACTGTTCAAAGTGTTGACGTTTCTGGACAAGTGAATCAACACTTCGTCTGCCGTATTCCTGATGCCTCAACTTGAATAAAAGCGCAGGTGGTTTCAAACTGTATACATCATATCACCATCGTCTAAGAAACTTCAGGGAATTGGGTTGTGAACTGACATACACATTTTTTCTGGTCAGATGACTTTAAATACATATACATTGTAATAAGCTACAAATGTTTAGTTCCAATCATCTGTCTATTTTGCATATTGAAGTGACTAGTAGTCTAGTACACTGTGGCTTGACAATAGAAGCATAAATTCAGCTGGGATACATCCAACATGAATTTTTATGCTCTGTTGTAGCATAAATTAGTTCCATTCAAAACATAAAGTAGTTTTTATTAGTTGTCTGACGGTATTTCAAATATTAGCATGCAATAAAAAGCATCACTTTTGCATTTTTCTTTTGCATGGGATATTGATTATTCTAATACATAAACAAATAGAATCTGTTTACGAATTAAAGCAGCTTCATCAGAATAAGCTACTAGTTAAATCCATTATGGAAGTAATAGAATTGGGAAGGAATTTTCTGTGTGTCAAATGAAGATGTGTGTGCAGTGGGTATCAATTTGATTGAAATGGTCGATATGTATGTTTTGGATGTCAGCTAAAGATGTCATGTGGATTTTGTGGTGGGTGGTGGGCAGTGGGCGTGGGCTGTAAGGGAAAAGGCAAAAATTATAAGCCAACACGGTTTAGATTAACGACTACCTATTCGATAGTCTTCAATGATAATGCTCAACTTTGATAAGGTATTTTGGCTTGGTCCTTATTTATCTAGTTTTGCATCCGCCGTGTGCCATTATGTGTTCTGAGAGAGAGAGTGTGTTTACTTGGATTATTCTTCAATATAATTATCCGCTTGCTGGGATGGGCACACTATATGTGTGCTCCTTCACTCATCGTATTTCTTTATTCTTTTCAATTATTTTCATTGAAATTTTTTACTTCATGTGTCAAGTGCTTCTTTGTAGAAAAATGCATATAGCTACGAAAAAATTACTCGCCTGCCAAAATTGCTCGCTGTGTTAAAGGATAGAATACATGTCATGACTTAACCATCATGTTGCAAATAAGGCTATCACCTAGTATGTCAAAGTCTTCACCGTTGGAGAAACACAGACGGCTGGAGCAGATCTTGATGTCTCGAGAATTAGGATGTGATTATATTAGACTTAGGATAGAATACATGTCATAATTTCTCATGTTCAATATTTGTTTTGTTTTTTTATGGAAACTCTTATTCTTAAAAATTTACTCTATCCAATGTGTTAAAAGAGATAAGACAGTATTAACTACATAATCTATGTCACATCATCACATACAGAACCTACTGGGTTGCTGATTGACTCTGCAATGAAGCTCGTCCTCTCCTGCATTCCTGAAGCCTCAGTAGATGAAAAGAGGGAAGCTTTGATGAGAGCAAGCAATCTTGCCTTGATGAGGGGTGTGACAACAGTTGTAGACATGGGGAGATATTATCCTGGTTTATCAGTGGAGCTTTCATGGGAGGACTTTTCAGGTCTCACTTACGTTACCATGGATGTTTGCATGTTCCATGCAATGAATCTTTCTGTTGTGTTTTTATGCCAAATTTGAATTCACAAATATATCAATTTAAAGGATCTGTCATCATAAACATGAGTACAATAGCTGTTGAATTCAATTGAGTCATTTACTATATTCTCTGTGAAATTCTGAAGAATTGACAAGAAACTAATATACTATTTCAAATCTTTAAAAGAGTGTGGTAGATCTTTTTCATATGCCGCTGAATCAAAATGGAAAATTTCAGTCTCAGTGGAACAGCAAAATGCACCACTTTGTTATTGTACTTAATCTCACAAGAGATTTAAATATAAGTTTTTACCACTCCGTCATTCCTGGAGTGCAAAGCATTATGACCCAACATTTACTCTCATCTTGCAGATGTGTACAGATGGGCTGTCTCATCCGGAGAAATGAGGATCCGGGTTTGCTTATTTTTTCCGATGGAGACATGGTCACGACTACTTGTATGGCTTCCTTTGATGCTACTTTATGGAAGGGCCATTGTTTTCTGCTTTGTTTTTCATCTTAGCTTGTGTTCATGTTTTCCTTTTACAATCATTATGAGAACACTGGGAATATCTGGGCAACAATGAGTCGAAATCCACACCAGAGTCCCAGACCGAAGTGATGAGTGGGAGGGGATCGCTGGGAATTCTTGACCTATTGTGTAAGCTCTATTAGTTTGCTTACATGGATGGGAAAAAGTGTTTGCCGATGATAAATAAACACACTTGCTTAAATGTGGGTGTGTAATGTTCACATCTTACAGAGCATACCCTAGGTGATAAGAGAAACTGGTGCAATTATTTACCAAAAGGGAAAAAACTAGTGGAATTCAGTTGAATTCTGCAGTGGCTCATTTGGTTTGTCCAACCTGATCCATAAAATCAAGCATAACTAAAACATAATCTGGAGAAGCTGTTCAGGTCAAATTATGATTTATTACCATTCAGCAGAGTGTAAATTTCTTGGTGAGCATTGCATAAACTGTTTCCTAGGGATTTTTGTTATAGATTAATGTTGACTATTGTTGGAAGATGATGTGACTTGCCGACCATTCTTAGAAGTTCTGAGGTGTATGTGTCAATTGAGGAGTTATCCATGTTGAGGTGTAAGCGTCTATTTAGGAGTTATCTGTGGTGGGTGTTGTTGTCAATTGAGGAGATATGTTAGCAATGACAGTGGTGTTATAATTAAGAATTGAATTAGAGACGAAACAAATTAGTCAACCAACTTATAATATAAATTAATATTCTTTATATTAAAAAAGAAGAAGAAGAAAAGAACATCGGTACAGCTTTTTTTATGATGGCTATTTTAAATGCAAAAGAAGCATTTAAGAAATTTCAAATTTAAATATTGATTTTTTATTTTGTAGTTGGAAGGAGGGGAGCAGTTGATATAGTGGGACAAAGTCCTTCATGCTTTGTTTCCCTGATCTTCTGCAGTAGAATTTCCAGAAGCATATCATTGACTGTTTTATTTTGTGAGTCGACCCCAATTCTTCTTTATTGGGTGGCACAATTTTATCTATTTCCTTTTTCATAGAATGACTTATTTTATCATAAAATAAAGAATAAGATCACCAATTCGCTCCATAATACCTCCATGGGAACCTACAAGAATACTGACAATTCTATATGAAACCTTATATTTGGAGCTAGTGCTGTGGAAATAGTTTTGTTTGCAACAAAGCTGGCTTCCCAGTGAATTAAGAGTAAAATGAGTTCATTTCAATATCTAATTTGCCCTTTTCAGACAGTGATAAATCTTAAATGATGAGAGCATTTATGCAGAGGAGAGAGTTAATATTGTTTTGCCATAGTAGTTGCAATCAGATATTGATTTGATATGTATTGAAAATGTTACATAGGCTTTATATCTGTTTGTGTTCTTCTTTCCTGCTTGATATGATTTTCTTCATTTCTTTTTTAAAGCATTCCTTCTGTTGAATTGGAGAACAATATCTCTTTACTTTTCTCTTAAGATTAGCTATAATATGTTGAGATTTCTCTTTTATTTCCCTTTCTGTTTACATATTGCCTTTGGATTTAACATAATAGATCTATTCATGTTTTTCTCCATTAAGACCTTATTTTCGTGCTTAGGATCTTATACACAAGGTGGGTCATAAGCTGAGCCAATGGATTTACTTAGGTGGTGTTAAGGCCTTTTCTGATGGATCCTTGGGATCAAAGAGTGCACTCTTTTATGAGGTAAGAAAAATTATATTTCAACCTTTCAATAGCCTGTGTAAATATGTAACTTAAAGTGTTACAACCTCTTTGATTTGCCATTTGTGGACTTGTTTCTGTCTCTGAACTGAATTTGAATTTGAAGTTTTCTTTCTTGCAATATCAACCTTTTATTTGGAGAGCTATGTTGGTAAAAGCAGTTAGAATGTGCAGAAACAGCAAAAAGAAAGAAATTATGTCAGCTTTCTCATTATGATAATATTGCCATGCTTTTTCTTCCATCCAGTTGATAAATATATTATGTGCCCAAATCATCTATGTAGCATGTTGGATGAAGATATAAAACTAGAGCTTTTTTTGTCATACTCTGTCGTCTAGCCTGTGGTTGACAAGTTCAAACTGCACTGGGTATTACTGGCACGTGTTCACACCAGAATTGCTCCTTTTTTAGATGTTTCCTGCAGCACAAAGCTTGTAACAGGCCCATTTGTGTTGTATCACTTGCTATCACAGACTTTCTAAATGTTTATTTAGTCTGTTGTATGTATATGTAGCTCATTGTTCATGTGTATTAGCCATATGTTGATGAGCCTCACAATTACGGCATACAAGTGACAGACACTCAAAGTCTATACAACATGACTGCCGCATCGCATAAATCTGGCCTCCAGGTGATCCATTATGTTGCTGTATGAGTCCCTCTTACCTATCTATATGTGTGTGTGTGCGCACCCATTATTGCGAAATAATGGCTCTGATTTTACTCTGAATTAGGTCGCCATTCATGCAATAGGTGACAGGGCAAATGACTTGATTTTGGATATATACAACTCAGTGGTTTCTACAAATGGAATAAGGGACCGGAGATTTAGGGTAAACTAACTTCTTATAAATTATAATGTTAAATGGTGAAGTTGAATTTATCTTAAATCTGCAGTTATGACTGTAGTCTTTTATTTTTATTAAGTGACATCTTGAAGATCTTTTTATGACTGAAATGAACACTTGGTTTGCAGATTGAGCATGCACAGCATTTAGCACCTGGGACCACAGGCCGGTTTGGTGAATTGGGGATTGCTGCTTCCATGCAGGTTCTTGCGTAATGTACTCCTCACATAACAATTAGTGGACATTGTGGTGCCATCACCTTTGTGGGCTCCTTGGACTATTTTATTTTTTTGTCCAACTTAGGATGGGTTTGGGGATTGCTTTTGAACCATGGGAGTAATGGTCATTCCTTGGCAAAGGCTGAAACTTTTACAAATTACCCCAGGAACCTATGTTTTGAAAGGATATCATAATTCATATAATGGCTTCATGACATGTTTCCATATTTGTTATGGAATATCTATCCACATTCTTGCTTTCAATTTTTCTTACATCTGGATGAAATGGTGTGGATGGTTCTCTTTTGTTTCCTTTTTTTCTTGTTTCCATTTGGATTATGAAGTCCAAATTTAGATTGATTTAGTTTTACTATTTTGAACAAGATTTGCAATGCACTATTGTATGACATTTGGGTGCCTTCATTTATTATTTTACATGAAGATGCCCTTTTTGTCCTGACTCAACTGAATTTTTATCCTTGACAGCCAGATCACTTACTAGATGATGCTGATTCTGCGATAAAGAAACTTGGGTCGGAGAGGGCTTGGAGAGAATCTTACTTATTTCGGTCACTCCTGGCAAGCAATACTCTTTTGGCCTTTGGTTCTGATTGGCCTGTGAGTTGTTCTCTTACTTAGTTATATTCGAAATGAGAAATCAGACCAATTAATACAGTGACTATGTTATGCCATTTACCTGTTTTGTGTTGTTATTATTGTTTCAGGTGGTAGACATTAATCCTTTAGGTAGCATCAAGACTGCAATGAAAAGAATACCTCCTGGATGGGAAAATGCTTGGATTTCCTCAGAATGCATTAAACTGAATGATGCAATAAACGCGTAAGGAACATTGAAAATTCATAATTTTCAGCTTCTTTACCTGATCCCGTACTTCCATATTTGTTATCCGACCATTTATGTTGACGTTCAACGTCACGCACTGTGTTTTTATATGGTGTTTTAAATATGGAATTTGGAGGATCATGTCTCTACCATCAGGCATGAATTACCAAACTCTGTAAATAGGGCACATTGGTTCAAGTCTGGTTGGGACTTGGAAACATGGATAACACACATACACACAGATGGACAGACAAATCTACATGATAGATAGATAAGCAGAAAAAAGAGAGAGCACTCATTAAGCCGTAAGACCGGCATACAACTCATTTCCAACTTGATAGGGGACCATCATATAATCAAGTCGCAATTTGTCAGTGACAAAATCTAATGTGATGACTTGGACAATCTGAATTCATGTATTTCTCTCATATAGTCAGTTATAATCTGTTGTTTGTTCTCCTTAAATATGGTCGGAGGTCTGGAAGGAACGGGCATTTACAAGAAAATGGTGCAGTAAAATCAGGTGGCCTTAGATTAATTGATGCTTATCAAAAATAACAATCTACTCAACTCCTGCAATTATGTTACATCATTGGTCATTTTTTCTATTGAACAGAAAGCTGTCGCATCTTGTTTTTATCTCATTGGAAGTTAATCTCTATCTATTTCTACTCTTAGCATTATTGTCACTAGGAATCGCATTTCTCTTCCTCACTGGTTCAGTTGTTAAACAAACCGAGCCACTTGGGCTTGTCTAGGACTCGACTCAATTTTGGGTAGTTCTCACTCGTTCAAGCTCGTTCTTATTAGAAAAGGAACCAAATATAATCACATTTTGTATCTCATTTATATTTAAGTCAGTTGGCTCTTAGGCTCGAGCACGTTTGTTTATATTATAATGGATAAAAACTTTTTTGTGGTGAAGAAATAACAGACATCTTTAGTGTTGTGGATAATGTATTTGATTTCTAATCAAGAGATTGTGGGCTCTAGTCTCATTGGTAGTGTGTTTTGGAATATACTCAAGCTTGAGCTCGAATTGGAGCTTGTAGTACGAAAATGAGTCAAGCCAAGCCAAATCTGAGCCTATAAGGTAGAGACCGAGCTGAGCTAGAGCAAGAATCCTAGCTCAGCAGTCACACTCGAGTGAGATAATGACCTCAAGTCAGGCATGACCATACCAAAGTACAAAAGACTCGGCCAGATTAACCCNCAGTCACACTCGAGTGAGATAATGACCTCAAGTCAGGCATGACCATACCAAAGTACAGAAGACTCGGCCAGATTAACCCCTNCTAGCTCAGCAGTCACACTCGAGTGAGATAATGACCTCAAGTCAGGCATGACCATACCAAAGTACAAAAGACTCGGCCAGATTAACCCCTTTTTATTGGTGCAATAGCTGGTGTTCTATAAACATGTCGAACCACCTAAGTCGATTTTTTACGAATTAATATAATATTCGTGCCACTTCTACTGTGTCACAACTACACACAAACCCAATTATATGCTACATTGTTTTACCTTACATTCTTCTTAATGTCCGCGTCTCAGCCACCCTTTGTTTCTGAGCCTGTTACTGCCTAATTACCTAATGTTCTATATGATAAAGCATTGTTTGTCTAGTGGTTTTCTTGTAAATCTTACCTTTCAGCTTATGTGTACTCCACTTATTCTGTCATGCTTTAATTAAATAAGGCACAATGTGTGCGATCTCCCCCTCCTTATGGATAATTAACCCCAATTACGGAAAGTGTTCGTTTTTTTGTATATCTTAATCTTCGTTCTTGACTACGTGCCTAGCGGAAAATTCCTTCGTGTAAGTTCTACTTCACCATAGTTGCATTATCTAATTCAGTTTTAGTTCTATTTATCTTAGATTTTTTTGATTTTGTAAGTTTTTCTCTTAATTTCTAGTTTATTATACATCTCACTTTGGTTTTGACTTGCATAACAAATAATATCCACTATAGAATGTAATTCTGAATGTGTCTTCTTAATTCATCCATAATCTATGTATCAGTGTTAATGTGGAACCCTGATGTAAGCTTACTATGATTGGAATTCACTACCTTCCCATCCAATTGTTCTCACTAAAGTGACCGCATCTTTGCACGCTACTTTAGACATATCTATATGCATGTGACCCACCCTATTACATTACATCCCTTGGGACTCTATTACAGGTTTTCTTTAAGTCTGTTATAACATATGAATATCTTAATATTTTTATCCTTTGTTTGCCTTTTCATTAGTCTCTCAAGTAATTATAGCTTTCACTGTTGACCTTCCATGCATCAATTCAAACTAATTTTCATATACTATTATTCCAAGTCTTAATCGTTGCTCTCTCACTTATTTTTCAAAGTTTCATTGTATAACGTCAGTGTTATGTCTCAATAATTTGTGCAACTTTGAATGTGCTCCTTATTTTTATATATGAGTACAAAAATACTCTTCTTCCATTTATCAACCATTTTCTTTGTAGCAATAATCCTATTAAATAGTTTGCTAGCCAAGATACTCCAACATCTCATGAACACTTCTAAACTCAAATTGGTATACCCTCATGTTTTAAAATCTTATTCATGTTTAATTTTCTTTAACTCATTATCTACTTTAGACGCCCTAACTTCTATGAAGAAACTAGTTTTTAGGGTATTTCTATAGTTATTAAATTGTACGACATCTAATTTGCCTAATTGTTTCTCATCTAATAACTTCTCAAATAATTTTTTTTACTTACTTTTTTCGTTTTACATGGTGGGCAATTTTTCATTTTACGTGGTGGGCCTTAGAGCAGTGGTAAGGTTATTCTATTTTAATCTACGCATCAAGGGTTTCAACTGTGAAAACTTCCTTTCTTCATGTGAGAGTAAGGTTGCATACATATGATGCTCTCTAGACTAGGGGTGCAACTAGGGTTGGGCAACCTGAATTCAACCCGAGCCCAACCCGAAAAAATTAGGGCTTGGGCAAGGGTTTTTAATACTTGGGTTGGGCTTGGGTCAAAAAATCCTAACCAGAATTGAATTTGGGTTGGGCTCAGGTTAAGACCTCATGAACCCGAGTTCAACCCGAACCCGACAAATTAAAAAAAAAAATTATATATATATAAAGTATTAGCACTAATTTTTATTTTTGTTCTATCGTTCTCTGTCTCTCTCGTTCTCTTTGCCTCTCTCGTTCTCTCAGCCTCTCTCGTTAAAAACTTGGTTGAAATTATTGATTGTTAATTTAGATGAATATGATGTAATATATGTATTAGGTTTAAAATAACAAACCTATTTTGGACTCTACCCGAATTGAACTCGTAAAGTAATCCAAAATTAGCCCGAAATCATCAACCCGAATTCAACCCGAGCCCGCCCGAATTAAACTCGGGCAGTGCTCGGGTTGAGTTTTCCAACCCGAGGTAGGGTTAGGGTTGAAGATTATATACCTAGGGTTGGGCTAGGGTTAATTGTTCAACCCGCCCGAGTTGCACCTCTACTCTAGACCCCGCAATGGTGGGAGCGTCATGCACTGAGCAATTTTTTTACTTAATTTCTTTATTTTGTACTAATACCCTTAATTTCTTTATTTTGTACCAATACACTTAATTTTTTGCTCTTGGTACACTCAATATAGTTTTATTCCCTTCTTTTCTTTCCCTTAAAATAGCAAGTTTGTACATACTTCTCCTCATTTTTGTATCTAGCTAAGAATTATAATCATCATGGACTTCATGCTTAGCTCCTCTTACACTTTTAACTTTTTTCTCCACAAACATATATCTTAGAACTTTCTAAGTTTCTAGTTTTTTCCAAGTTTTGTAGCATTTCTTTTTGCTTTTACTGCAACATGACTATTCCACGGCCAAGTTTTTGTAATTGGTGCTTCATTGGTTTTTGATTCTCATAGCACCTTTTTTTTTTTTTTTAGTATTTTATCCTTATATAAATTAATTTTTTATTCTTTTAAGTTCCACCACATAGTTTTTGAATTTTTAATCTCTTTTCTCAGTCATAAATAATTTTTCAGATTTCGGAGGCGTAAGCGTAACTGATCACTTCAAATGTTTCTAAAATTTGCCTTCGATTAAATTTTCAAGCAAGAAACAGGTTGCTATTGTAAGGAAAGAAATTGGATGCACCCTCAGTAGATTATGCAAAATTATATTTAACAGATTGAACTGCTCTTTCTGCATGAAAACTTTTCATGGAATGTGCTTTATCTGCCGCAACCCACAGTTCTTACATATAAGCTGATAATTTCCCTAGTCTGAATGTTTCTGCTCACAAATTTTACCTTCATGGCAGGTACACTATCTCAGCTGCTCGTGCATGCTTTCTGGATGAGGATTTGGGATCGTTATCGCCTGGAAAATTTGCAGATTTTGTTGTGCTGTCCACTGATTCTTGGGATGGCTTTGCGGATTCAGGGTCAGCTTCTGTTGAGGCAACATATGTTGGTGGTGTACAGGCCTATCCCTAAGTGCCTGATGATTGTAGAAGAACAGATGACAGCAGGTAAAGTCATAAAATTTACGGTGCCAAAAGGATAATGGCTAGGTGGATATAAAAGCAGAACTGTATTGAATTGTACTAATCTGGAAAGAGAAGTCTCTGTAGTTTGTAAGCCATTCTCGTACAAAATTTCAAAAACAGTTAATATAGTTGATCTTTCAAAATGTTTCTGTACCACTTGAAGAGTTTGGAAAAAGGAAAGGCTCTTAAGTTGCATGTTATAAGTCCCTTAAGTCTGCCATTTAGGGGTAGGATTCGCCAACTTTGGGAGACCCAATGGTTTGAATTTGATGATAAAGTTGCAGAGATTGGGTAGGGATGGTGATGGTGGTAGACTGAAATGGAGGACCGTGAGGATGGTGGTGCATGCTGATGAAGAGGAATAGATGAAGTAGTTGTACTGTAGTTTGTGTATCGTTTGTCATAATACTAAAATTTTACACGTCACAAAAAAAAAAAAAAAAAACTACCTCAAACTAAACTACATCAACCAAAGTAAGCTTTTGTGTCTCAATCATTTAGAGTTGGTTATATGAGTCTCTTGTTGTCATTCATTTCGGTGATGTGTTATATGTTCATTTAAATTAAATATTTTTATTTTATTTTTTATTATTTTGTTTAATGACGACCTAACATTAGTGTGTATATTATTATTTGAATTCATTATAGTGGATTTGATAAAGTTTTACGTTGATTGTCAGCTATCTAATGCAATTCTCTTATTTTATCCTACCTTGGGATAGACAACATTGAATACAACACTGACAGAGTTAATCTTCTTCACTCTTATTCCAAAATAATTTTAGATTATATACAATTCTTTTTTTTTTCTCTCTCTCTTCAAGAGATTTTTTAGAATTTTAAATTTTTTGGGTATATTTTTTATGGTTGATTTTATATGTTATAAAAGATTTTTGTTGAAAGAACACTTTTTTTGAAGCACCACTTCTCAAATTCAAGACCAAAATTAATTTTTTTTTTTAAAAAAAAAATTGATTAAGGCTGCTACGTGTGAGCAGCATGGAAAGCAAAATTCAACAATTTTCGTTAAACCCTTACCATATGTTTAGATCAAAGGTTAAAGAGATTAATAACGCAGGGCAGAAATAGAACTATGGGGAGGCCTAGGGGCCCCCCTTCAAATTTTTAAATTTTTTATTGTCCCCTTTATATTTTAGAAAATTTTATTGTTAACTTTTATCTTTTCAAAACAGTTAATGTATAGTAACTCAGTTAATATATTCAAAAAGATCAATGACTTAATATTTAGTCATCGTTTAAGATGTAATCACATGGACGATTGTCGCTTGAACTGACGAAGATACTTGTTAGATTATTTTAATGATGTAGAGAAAAAATAAGTAATTTTTTTTTTTAAAAATAGAGATATAAATATGGTTAATATATAAAACAGTTCATTAACTTATAATTCATTTTTATTATCGTATCATATGAAACTATTATTTATGACATATTTATTTATAGATATAAGAATACATTATAAACAAGAAAAAAAAAGACAATAATATTATCACAAATAAATTTTTATGATGGAAAAAAAAATCTAATCGATTTTATAGATATTTGGATTGAAATTGACGAACAACCAAGAACAATATTATTTTTTATTAGTGTCCAATAGAAATTGGGGCGTGGCCAAGAGGTAAGGCAACGGGTGGACTCATCACCACCAATCGATCGAATCAAAAATAATTTTTTCGATGCCGTTGTATAAAAATTAAATTTAATAGGTTTTTTAGAAATAAAAATTTATCATTGACAATGACCATTGAATAATCTCATTGAATTAAATTTTTGTCTCTGTTTTTATTGGCCTCTCTCAATATAAAATTCTAATTTCGTCTTTGACACAAAGATAAGATAAAAAAAAAAAAGAAAAATTGTGAAAATACACACTATGTACTACTTATTTGTGAGGAAGTACCTTAATATAAATCTTCTGTGTATAAGTCCTTTTTTGTGTAAATATTTTGTGAACAGATACACTTTGGCTGTTTTTTAAATATTTCATTTAAGTAAAAGTCATTTTCTTTTATTCATGGAAGAAAATTTATGCAGTTAATTGTGGAATTCAGTTTCCTATTTTTTTGGGACATCACGTTTGAATTTTGAGTTACATCTCCCTGAGTTACATCTCCCTGTTTCATTCAACGACTAAAATTTTGAAAACAAGATCTTCGTCTTATTAGTTGTTTCCTTATTTTTTTGATTTTATTTTATTGGCTAAGTGAATTTTTAAATTAAAGGATAATTAATCATTTGAATTTTAAAAGGATTCTTTTAGTTTTAAAAAGATTTCCTATTTTATTTTCTTTCTCTCTCATTCTCACTTCCTTTTTTTTCTCTCTCAAACTCATTATCTCTCTCATCGTTACTCTCATCTCTCTATTCTCTATTCTTTCTCTTTTCCCCCTACTTTCTCTCTCTGTTTATGCAATGTTAAAATAATTTTTTCGATGCCGTTGTATAAAAATTAAATTTAATAGGTTTTTTAGAAATAAAAATTTATCATTGACAATGACCATTGAATAATCTCATTGAATTAAATTTTTGTCTCTGTTTTTATTGGCCTCTCTCAATATAAAATTCTAATTTCGTCTTTGACACAAAGATAAGATAAAAAGAAAAAGAAAAATTGTGAAAATACACACTATGTACTACTTATTTGTGAGGAAATACCTTAATATAAATCTTCTGTGTATAAGTCTTTTTTTGTGTAAATATTTTGTGAACAGATACACTTTGANTGTTGTCATTCATTTCGGTGATGTGTTATATGTTCATTTAAATTAAATATTTTTATTTTATTTTTTATTATTTTGTTTAATGACGACCTAACATTAGTGTGTATATTATTATTTGAATTCATTATAGTGGATTTGATAAAGTTTTACGTTGATTGTCAGCTATCTAATGCAATTCTCTTATTTTATCCTTCTNCATTAGTGTGTATATTATTATTTGAATTCATTATAGTGGATTTGATAAAGTTTTACGCTGATTGTCAGCTATCTAATGCAATTCTCTTATTTTATCCTACCTTGGGATAGACAACATTGAATACAACACTGACAGAGTTAATCTTCTTCACTCTTATTCCAAAATAATTTTAGATTATATACAATTCTTTTTTTTTTCTCTCTCTCTTCAAGAGATTTTTTAGAATTTTAAATTTTTTGGGTATATTTTTTATGGTTGATTTTATATGTTATAAAAGATTTTTGTTGAAAGAACACTTTTTTTGAATGCACCACATCTCAAATTCAAGACCAAAATTAATTTTTTTTTTAAAAAAAAATTGATTAAGGCTGCTACGTGTGAGCAGCATGGAAAGCAAAATTCAACAATTTTCGTTAAACCCTTACCATATGTTTAGATCAAAGGTTAAAGAGATTAATAACGCAGGGCAGAAATAGAACTATGGGGAGGCCTAGGGGCCCCACTTCAAATTTTTAAATTTTTTATTGTCCCCTTTATATTTTAGAAATTTTATTGTTAACTTTTATCTTTTCAAAACAGTTAATGTATAGTAACTCAGTTAATATATTCAAAAAGATCAATGACTTAATATTTAGTCATCGTTTAAGATGTAATCACATGGACGATTGTCGCTTGAACTGACGAAGATACTTGTTAGATTATTTTAATGATGTAGAGAAAAAATAAGTAATTTTTTTTAAAAAAAATAGAGATATAAATATGGTTAATATATAAAACAGTTCATTAACTTATAATTCATTTTTATTATCGTATCATATGAAACTATTATTTATGACATATTTATTTATAGATATAAGAATACATTATAAACAAGAAAAAAAAAAGACAATAATATTATCACAAATAAATTTTTATGATGGAAAAAAAAATCTAATCGATTTTATAGATATTTGGATTGAAATTGACGAACAACCAAGAACAATATTATTTTTTATTAGTGTCCAATAGAAATTGGGGCTTGGCCAAGAGGTAAGGCAACGGGTGGACTCATCACTACCAATCGATCGAATCAAAAATAATTTTTTCGATGCCGTTGTATAAAAATTAAATTTAATAGATTTTTTAGAAATAAAAATTTATCATTGACAATGACCATTGAATAATCTCATTAAATTAAATTTTTGTCTCTGTTATTATTGGCCTCTCTCAATATAAAATTCTAATTTCGTCTTTGACACAAAGATAAGATTAAAAAAAAAGAAAAATTGTGAAAATACACACTATGTACTACTTATTTGTGAGGAAGTACCTTAATATAAATCTTTTGTGTATAAGTCATTTTTTGTGTAAATATTTTGTGAACAGATACACTTTGGTTGTTTTTTAAATATTTCATTTAAGTAAAAGTCATTTTCTTTTATTCATGGAAGAAAATTTATGCAGTTAATTGTGGAATTCAGTTTCCTATTTTTTTGGGACATCACGTTTGAATTTTGAGTTACATCTCCCTGAGTTACATCTCCCTGTTTCATTCAACGACTAAAATTTTGAAAACAAGATCTTCGTCTTATTAGTTGTTTCCTTATTTTTTTGATTTTATTTTATTGGCTAAGTGAATTTTTAAATTAAAGGATAATTAATCATTTGAATTTTAAAAGGATTCTTTTAGTTTTAAAAAGATTTCCTATTTTATTTTCTTTCTCTCTCATTCTCACTTCCTTTTTTTTCTCTCTCAAACTCATTATCTCTCCCATCGTTACTCTCATCTCTCTATTCTCTATTCTTTCTCTTTTCCCCCTACTTTCTCTCTCTGTTTATGCAATGTTACATTTAAGTCACATTGTGTGATATCTATCATTTGCAAAACACTGCATATGATGTTTGTTTTGCAATGTGACATTGGAATCACACTTTTAATGTACACACCATGAAAAAAAAATTCATATGATGTGTAGTTACATTGTGACATTGGATTCACGCTGTGAAATCCACCATGTGTATTTGAATCTTTATACGATGTATGTATGAAGTGTCACATTAGAGTTACAATGTGATACTATCTATGTGCAAACCTGTGTATGGTGTCTATATGCAATGTAACATTGATGCCACATTTGTGGTGCCTATAGTTTGTCAATCTCTGAGTCACACTGTGATACTTTCCATATGTCAAAACTTGTATATGTTATGTGTATACAGTGGATATTGATGTCACATTATAATGCTCACAGTGGCCCAATCCTACATATGTATTTTACAAAAAGTGTGACATTGGGATCACAATGACCAAAACCATACAAATGATGCATGTATGCAATGTGACATTGGCATCACAATGAACAAATCCTCGCTTTCAATAAATTTCAATGATGGCGACGGTGTATGTTCTTCCTAGTGAAACCCTCAATAATAATAAATTTCTTTGACACCTAGGAATGGTGTTTGAGATTAGATATTTGTGTACCATTTGAATTTTAAATTTTTATCCTCAAATTGTGGAAAACTCCAGTGCCAATGGTAGAGACATACGAGCAGCTACTGTTTTTTCTCATTCTTTTTGCCGGTTTCCTTAGACAAGTAGAAAACTTTTCAAATTGGAAACTTTTCCAAAAAATTTGCAATGATGTCGCCTTTATTTATTCTTCACAGTGGAACACCCTCGTTCCCCAATGTGTGTTATTCATAGTGGATGCCGATTTTTTGAGTTTTTCACTATAAAACCTTAAATACAATGGATTTCTTTTCATTTTTTTATAATGTAAATGCTGAGAGAATGGTGTTTGGAGAAGTTATGTGAGCCCCGTTTGAATTTCAAATTTTTTATCTTCACATCTTGCAAACTCTGGCAACAATCGTGGAGGCATGCAAAACTTGCAATCTCTACCCTTTTCTTCCGAAGGTTTTCTTAGATAGTTAAGAAACTTTTCAATTTTAAAAGGAGGTATTTTGAAATTTTACTATAGCATGTGGACCTCTTTGTCGATGCTTTCAAAAGTGTTATTTTTTTTAATAATTCTAATATTATATACTGATCCCTTTTTTTCCCTAAAAAAAATGGGGGCTCACTTTTCCTGTATTTAGTTTGCCAAAAAAGTATGCGGAAAATCTGACTCGGATTTTATCCCAACAAAAAATGAACAATTATTTTTATTCAGCTTATTTGGGGTTAAATGAAACCCATGATGAGAGGGTTGGGATAAATTGCCCTGACAAGATATATGAGGTTTGACTCCTCTGAAGTTAGAAATTACCGACGTTTTAGCTTAAAAAAAAAACTAGGACAATATCGTTTTCTCAAGATTTGCCCAAATTTCATCACAGGTTTATTCCTTTCTCGTTTGCCAAAATATAATCTTTACATAAACCTTTCTCTTCACTTCTCTCTCCCTCTCTCTCTATCTCTCTGAACATTTAAGAAGACCCATTGTTTTACAAATTGAAGACCCACAATTTTAATCCCATTCGAATCTCTAGATTATCTCTCTTCGTGTTGAACAAGCAAGACGGAATGCTGCAGGAGTTGAGAGTTTGGTATAAGAAGTAAACTAAAGAGTGAATGCAAATTCTTCCTAAAACAATTTAGAAATCATTACCAAACAAGTTTTCTATTTTTATTTTTATATTTTTCTTACAGTAAGTATAGTAACCAAACAAATTTTCTATTTTTGTTTTTACAAAAAAGAAAAGCAAAAGTGTTTTCGTTTTTAGTTTGAAAACCAAATACCATAAACGTTTCCAAACCCCAACCTTTACAAAACCCTTGACCCTTAACCCCTACGCACCACTTTCAACCCAACAACAAACCATGTTCTTCAATCAGCCCAACAATTCCAAAAATCTCACAAAACTCATCTTCTCTTCTTCTCACTCCTCAATCTTGACCCTCCTACACAAACACCCACCTGCTTATATATACACCCAGAAGCAAACCTATGTTGATGTGTACATGAAATGGAAGAAAGATTCATACCATGACTCAATTGATTCAATTCACAAATCCATTGATCTCAAACCCCTAATCTCTCTCAAGAACTGCATAGCCTCCTCACCAGACGAATGCATCCCCATCTCTGTTGTTTCAAAAAGGGGTTTGGAGTTGGGAATACCCATTAAGGTCGCTAGGTTCTTGAGACGATACCCATCTGTTTTTGAGGAGTTTGTTGGACCCCAGTACGATTTGCCTTGGTTTAGGCTGACCCAGAGAGCTAGTGAGCTTGATAAAGAAGAAAGGGAGGTTTATAGGGTTTGTAAGGTTGATATTCAAGAAAGGTTGAAGAAATTTATATTGATGAGTGGTGAGAAAAGGTTGCCAATGAAGATAATTCAGGGTATGCAGTGGTACTTGGGATTGCCAGATGAATTTTTGCAAGACCCTGATAAGAATCTTGATGGGTGTTTTAGGATTGTACAAATGGAAGATGGGTTAAAGGGTTTGGCTGTTGAGAATGAGGAAAAGGTGTTGTCTATAATGCAGAAAAATGCTATGAAGAAAGGGGTTTATAGCGGGGGATCAATGGAGCCTGTTGAGTTTCCACTTTTTCCATCACAGGGGTTAAGGTTGAAGAGGAAGATTAAGGATTGGTTGGGTGAGTTTCAGAAGCTTCCTTATGTTTCTCCATACGAGGATCATTCGGATTTCAATCCGGACAGTGATGTTTCGGAGAAGCGGCTTGTTGGTGTGCTTCATGAGTTGCTTAGTCTGTTTGTTGAGCATGCTGCTGAGAGGAAGAAGCTTTTGTGCCTTAGGAAATATTTAGGATTGCCCCAGAAGGTTCACAAGGCATTTGAGCGGCATCCTTTTATGTTTTATTTGTCACTGAGGAACAAGACTTGCACGGCTATATTGAAAGAGGCTTATTGTGATAAGTCAGATATAGAGGTCCATCCTCTGGCGGAAGTAAGAAAAAAGTACATTAATTTGATGAAGGAATCGGAAGTTATTTTGAAAAGTAGGAGGATTCAAAATCAATCTTTTGATCGTGGAAATGTGAAGGTAACTGTGAAGGACTTGGATTGTACAGATGATGAGAGTACTGAAGCTGCAGATGTTTCTTTATGATTGATTAGTGAAGACATGTAGAGACAGGCGTCTACAGCCGTAAAACAATGCACATGATGGGCTTATCAAGTAGGACTAGTCAGAGGCAAAGGTGGAATTATATAATGCTGTTTGGTAGAGGATTTCTCGTATGAGCAGATGCTACGAATGTTGCTCATAAATCAATGGTAATCTATGCCGGCATTGATGGGCTTATTGATGATATGGGATGCATACTTGCTGTTAGAGTTCTACCTTATAGGAAGTGTTAAATCCTTATGAGAACACCGCACTTTGAAAATTGCAATTCAATACAGTGATCGCTGCACATATTCAACCCAACCAACTGTATGTAACAGGTTTCGTCTAACTCCTCTGATCCTGCAGCTATACATTTTTGATACATTGTGGATGATTTTATACNGATCGCTGCACATATTCAACCCAACCAACTGTATGTAACAGGTTTCGTCTAACTCCTGTGATCCTGCAGCTATACATTTTTGATACATTGTGGATGATTTTATAATGATTATGATAATCGCCCTGCCTATTTTCTATTTTGTAGCATCTAAACACTGTAGCATTTGTGCTTGTTTGAGCATTTTGTAGTGATATCATAATTTGTCTATGGCATTTCCCCTTTTGCCAAGTCAACTGCCCCTTATATGTCTCCATTTGGCAGAGTTTGTCCATTATTTTATATCAGACTTGGTTGCTCATCCTTCAATATCTTCATTGGTTGAGATATGACTCTCTTACCTTCCCAAAAAACAGAGATGACTCTCTACTTCCAGCTACTGAGGAATGTTTGCAGCTTTGTGCCTCTTCAGCTATGAGGTGGGTATTAGACTGGAAATAAATGTGTTCTAGGAAAAGCTCAATTCTTGAGGCGTAGGTTTATGACTTTCTTTTGGGCTTTTGACTGAACAGTTTTTCTGGGCTTCACTGTCAGAAATCCTTGGGGAATGGATTGATTGGCCTATCAAAGTCACAAGATCAAGGCATTATGTATTATTTTTGCCCAGTAAGGTGAAGTAACATTCGAGGGTGGCTTTCTTGGCAGTACAAGGCAAGTTGGAAGAGGGGCAACCTTTACCTTGAACATGTGGTCTTCTGTCTTCCCTGATATATTCATACTTGAGATGCACTATGAAGCAGAGATTTAGGCTTCGCTGGGTACCTTAGGAAAGCTCTTAACCGAGGGATGAAGTTTTCTGTGTGGGTGATTTGTCTCTTGTTATTGGTTATGATGAAGCCTGAAACTGAAAATTGATGTTACTTGCACACGTGTTTCATAAGATTGGTGATCTTATATATTACCTTGGGAAATGAAATACTCCGTCCATAGCATGGTTCAAAGTATAGGCCGAGTCCGAGTCAACTCGGCCGAGTCGTATCCGTCTCAACAGTTACCGATCCGATAACGATACACGTTACACCAATATAATGAGATTCGACTGAATCGGTCCTGACTCGGTGGCATCGGCTCAATTAGGAGCTAAATCGGTTGGACTCGGCCAAGTCAAACAGAGTCNGTCCATAGCATGGTTCAAAGTATAGGCCGAGTCCGAGTCAACTCGGCCGAGTCGTATCCGTCTCAACAGTTGCCGATCCGATTACGATACACGTTACACCAATATAATGAGATTCGACTGAATCGGTCCTGACTCAGTGGCATCGGCTCAATTAGGAGCTAAATCGGTTGGACTCGGCCGAGTCAAACAGAGTTAGACCGCTATGGTGCAACTAGATCTAGAAAATCTGAGCAGCAAAAACCCTAAAAAAAGAGAAAGGAAGAAGAAAATGGACAAGACTCACTTGCATATTTATGGGTCAGATTGAATTCGTAACAAAATAAACAAATGAAAAGGGGATTGATAAGAAATAAAACAAACAATCAAATGCCCATCAGTTAAAAACCCACGAAAATTCATCAGTTTTTCAAAATTCAAACCCTAAACCAGTGACAAAGAAAACCCTCCAGCCCTAAATCACTCATTTTTGGAATTATAAGAACAAAAGAAGAATAATAGAAAGTATATGTAATAAAAACCTACAAATCTTCATCTTCTTCTACTTCTTGTTGCCCTTTAGAAGTAGAGCTGGAGTGCCCTACATCGTCTCTTCTTCTCCAGTAGAATGACAGTTCTCTCTGCCTTCACGAATCATGATCGGCTCGCTCTCTCTCTCTCTCTCTCTCTCTTCGCGGTCGACGAAATGAGAGTGTTGGACTGTTAGTTACCAAGTAGTCAGTACAAATAGCATTAGTGTTATATATATATATATGTCAGTGGGCATTGGGAGTATACCATGTATGTTAAAACCCTATTTAATTATTATAAAATTAGATTGCATGATTATTATATATGTAAATATATAAACAAAAATTTCTTTAAATTCTTATATGTTCCCATACATAATTTTTTTTTTATAAATACACATAAATCAAATTAATTTTTTTTGGTAATTTTCATGTGTTGTTTAATTATAAAATGTGGCGATGATTATAGAATGGTATTTTTTGTAAATGTTTAAATTGAATATTATAAAGATAAATATTTTTGTTAGCGCCCTTATAATTCGTTTTTACTATGTTTAATGTCTTAGATTATGTATTTTGACATATGATCTACGGATGATGTTGTTTACATTTTTAAATATTTTTCATAATTTTTTTAGAATTTTTTGAGCTGTCTCTATCTAATATTTTGAACGTATCGGCTGATACCGTGCCGAGATGCCTCGACCAATGTGGTATTAGTGCCATCCAAATCGATGGCCGATACCGCGACTTTGAACCATGGTCCATAGTTCTCCTAAATCTGAGAAAGATTTTTCAGCTATGGATATGGTCACCACATTGGGAACTTTCATAGCATCTTGATTCTCATCTAGGCCTTCTTCCCACTTTGTTTATGTTTGTGTGTCAGATGCCGGATCTAGTCCTTGTATAGTTAATGTTCAGCATCAGCATTCCGTGTTACCACATTTCCTTTTTGTTTAAGACATACTGTAACACTCATTAGGATCATCATGTACCATGTGATCTTTTTGCTTAACAAATCTTCCCTAAATCCTATGTCTTTTGATGGAAGAAGTTTGTTGATTTATTTGAGTTGTTCTCTTACAAATCTTTCTGAGTCTTTGATTGATTATCTTTTCACTCCAGTTTTTTCTGTATCTTTGATAATTTGGAAGGCCTAGGTACCTATTACGGTTCAGTGTGTACTTAAGACACTTGCACGTTGTTCGATTCATCTTATTAACCTGCTTCAGAAGAGAAGGGGTCACACTTGTTTTCTACCACAGTGGTGTGCCATGTGTCAAAGGAAGGAGGTGTGCATTGATGACTTTTTCCTTCATTGTTCAGTTGCTTTGGGATTGTAGTGGTATTTATTCTAATTGGCAGGAGCGAGTTATTGATTCTTAAGCAATGGTGTGTCTCTGTTTTACTGTGACATCATGCAATTCTTGGTATTATTTGGTTACTTGATTGGAACCAAAAGCTGGAGTTTTTGATGGTGACATGGAGCTTGGTATGTGCTTATGGGATAGGGCTCTTTTTTGACATCTTTGTGGGCTTCGGTGACCAAGGAGTTTGGCAGTCTGCCTCTTTATCACGTCAGACTGGAAATCATTGTGCAACTTGTAGTGTTGTTTTTGGTTGGATTGTTTCGGTGTCGCTATCTTTGCTAGGATGTATTGTCCTCCAATTTATCCTAAATTTGTGCTATCTTCTCTTTGTCTAATTAAAGTCTGTTGCTATTAAGAGTAAAAAACTACAAATTGTTCTGTCAATGTTCGTTGCCGATAAAAGAAAAATGTTCATTGTCGAGAAGCACTTTTTTCCCTTCACCTGTCACATTTCATCTGCATTAAGTGTTCTATCACTCTCTTTATAAAAAGAAAATCTTCTCTGCTGCTCTTGTTCTGTTCTCATCTGAAATCATTCTTCTTTTGACGCCCTGTGAACATCTTATCGCCCTTGAAACTGATCTGAAGGAATTGAGTGACTGCTGCAGCATTGTCCTTTGCCCCTATGGATTTTATGAGGAATCACTGGACTGGAGTACCTCAAGTAGTACCAGGACACAAAGGTAGATTTCCACCCTTGGGTAATCTGAAACATTTACCTTTCGTTATTTTTGTAACTTATTGCAAGTTCACTCAGCTATTGCCATAATCTTCAATACAGAAGCCATTATCGGATTCAGTTGATGACACGGGGGAAGGTGCCATAGAGAAATTGATGATTATTAATTGTAGAACTTATTTGATGGAGGAACGTTCGTTTAGACCGCCCTCGCCCTCGCCCGCCAGAAGTTTCCTGTGCAACAACTCTCAGCCCTGGTAATGGTTTTTTGTGCGCACTTTGTCTTACGTAATGAAGTCATTTCTGGTTCATTGAAGATGGGAGTGTTGGTGATGTTCCAGAAATTACATGGCAGAATATTGGAGCCAGAGGGATTCAGATCCTCTGCTGTTCGCTTAAAACGGCACCGTTTGGTGCCTTTTTTAAAAAACCAATCAGACCCAAAAAAAAAAAGTCCCAAAACGATCATTCCTCAAATGTCTTCACTCCATCGCCTATGATCATTCCACAGATCCAAAATGATGCCGAAGTCGAAGACCCAAAAAATTCTAACACTCCATTGCCTACGTCTTCACTGATGCTGACGCCGACGTTCAAAGCTGCTCAAATCTGGATGTTTTAGAACTCGAACAATTTAGGGAAAAAAAAAAGTAAATGCAGTGTTGGGCGCCTCAATTTTCTAGCAAAGGTAAGTTCTAACATCGAGAATAGACAATGGCATTGGACTATCTTTTTCTAATGAGTACAGACAGATCCCAGAGCATATGCATGATATTCGGAACATCAACTTGCAGCCATATCAGGTGAAATTGCTTCTTGCCTCCAAGGACAGACATACAAACCCTGAATTCAACCACTAACCACTAACCCTGATGTTGGTTGGGTTGAATATCTTCTCTTAACCACTTCTATTTGTGGTGAAAACCCAGAAACATTTCGGTAAGAAACAGAGACAGTGCTATCTAACTTCTCAAATTTTTTACATTCAAATTTAAGTTTTGTGATTTTTTTTTTTAAAAAAAAGGCAGTCCATTGTATAAGGCTGCTGCCATTGTGGGGATTGGAGAATCTTTAACACCCAGATCACAATCTCATTACAGCACCAAGGCCGACCTATTGAATTCAAAATTTTCTTATTGGGTTTTTGTTGTTGTTGTTGTAGTTGTGCAGTGAATGATTATGTATCAGCAGTGAAGAACATGGCCTGTGAGATTCTTGAAGTGATGGTTGAAGATTCAATAGAGGAATGTGTTCAGTAAGCTTTTGAAGGATGAACAGAGTGACTCTGTTTTTAGGGTCAATCACTATCCTCCATGTCCCTGAGCTTCAGGAATTGAATGGTAGGAATTTGATTGGATTTGGAGCACACACTGACCCACAAATCATATCTGTTTTGAGGTCTAACAATACCTCTTGCCTTCAAATCTCACTGAGAGATGGAGATTGGATCTCAGTTCCACCTAATCAGAATTCCTTCTTCATCAATGCTACTCCTCTATGAAAACAATCTACTATGCAGAAGATTATGAGTCTGTTCTCAAAGCACAGACATACAAAGACAAAACCTATATGAAACTTCAAGCTCACAGTTCAGATGGGTACATAGCCAGTATGAGTAAGTCTGGTGCAACGGCTTGAGTTGTTACGATCCATATTCATGTTACTTTCTAACTTTAATTTAGTGAAGTTGTTTGTGATTGTAATGATAAAATGATGTAATAGTTTACTTTCATTTATGGGAAGGATCTTTTCTTAATTATGTAATGGTTTGTTTCATTTATGTAGTGCTACTTATGTGTTGGTGGGATAACTTTGGATTGTTGAATGATGGTGGTATTGCATTGGATAACTTAGCATTATGTTGGATGATGGTGGTGTAACTTAGCATTTGTTAGATTGTTAGTGTAACGGTTGCTGGATGATGGTGGCATTGAAGGGATGATATATGTAATCTTTGTATATTGGATGATGGTATTGTAGGCATTTGTTGGATGATGGTGGCATTGTATGTTGGATGTTTATGGATTCAATATACTTAAACAATTTAACTATATCAAGAAGATAATGGGTTCATGTACACAGGTGTTTCCAAAGGGATGGTTGATCTTCTAAAACAAGACAATAGAAGATCCACCATCCCCATAACAAAAGAATACATTGTAATTTCACATTTCAAAAAGAAAGTGTCATAACTGGACTGCAACAACAACATCCAACACTACAGCAGCAACATCAACTTCATTGCAAAACCACCAGCATCAAACAATAGCAAAAAACATCACCAACAACTCCGCCACCTGCAATCATGGAGGGTAACACAAACACAACTTTTGTCCTCTTGTTCTTCAAATATCCTTGAAAAAATCATAGAAGTTCTTGTTCATGAAGGAGGATTTTGCACTGAATAAATGCATTTGTGTTACACCAAATGACATATCTACATAAATTAGAATGGATCAATGAGAATGTAATATTAAAATCAATGTAATCAATGTATGAATAAACTAACATACCTGAGTATTAGATGCTTGTGAACATACTGGTTGTATAGATAATGGTTGTGAAGGTAATGGTTGTGGACATACTAGTTGTCAACATAAAGGTACCTTAATGACAAATAATTCTCAAATCAATATTGTCGTATGTTAAGTAAATATAAAAAAATCATTCAATGTTCGATGTGTCATATCTTGGATATATTAGAATGTTATGTAACTACTTTCTTCCTCTTTATACCTTTCACTTGTAAAATGTTAGGGTTCACTTTCTCCATTCCTTCATTATCCACACATGTGCTTTCAAATGAAGCACTACCTTCATCAATATGTGATGCAAGCATTTTCTCCACTTGCTCAAACAAATTTTGAATGCCTCATGTCACCAACTGATGTGCAGGTCCAAGTTCAGATCAACGAGCTACTAATTGTATCATTCTAGGACACAGTTGCTTATAACGAGATGTTGCCACCAACTTAGGATTCTCCACATTTGATACACTATAATCTGGTGTATAAATATTCCTTGCATCTTGTCTCCATTTCTTTATTATGTAGCCTTTAGGAATTTGCTTAATATTCATTGTGTCCAACACTTTAAGTGTATGACTACATAATATTCCAACAATTTCAAACTTCCGACAACTACAACTAATAAGTTGTTGAGTAGTATTTATCCACACCAAATACTCTTTCTCTTTTTCAAACAATTTAACAACAAATTCATATTGTTTCTCCATAGTATTGCATGACTTCACAACAGCACACTGGAATGTATCATACTCGTCATAAAATAAATCAAACATAAGAGGAGTGTAACATTGTCCAACTTGCACCAACATGGGAGCCTTTTTGAATTTCATTCTTTGCAACTTTTGCCTAGCATGATATTCTTCCTCCGACTCCACATATCTCTTATCATTTACAACTCTATCAAAGTGAGTAAAGAATTGAACAATATCATGATTTGACTTTAAGTTCTTTCGCAATTTTGCATTCAAACTCTCACTAATCTGGGTGCTCCTCATACCTGCTGTGAAAGTTCTCTTCATATACATCTTAGCTCATTTCTCCCTCAAAGTCCAAGTTGTCTTCATCCAGGTATAATCTCGCAAATTATACTCATCAAGCAAAATATTTCAAGTCTCAACAATTCATGTTCTTCCGTATATTCGTAGGTGCATTTTTGTAAATTGGTGATAAAGTTAGAACCATCCTTGTATATATTCCTTAGATGCTTTAAAGCAATTTGGGAAATGTGCCAAGTATATAGCCTATGATAAGTCCCCCAACATCACTTGGGTTATTGCGTTAGCCATTGCTTGATCTTGATCAGTAAAGATGGTGATAGACTTCTTCCCTGACATTGCTTGAAAAAATGTTTCAAATAACCATTGAAACGACTCTGCCGTTTCATCATACAATAATGCAACACCAAAAATCAAAGTCTTCCTAAAATGATTAAAGCCAACAAAGCATGCAAAAGGCCGATAATCCTTGTTCGTACAAAATGTTGTGTCAAATGAGACAATGTCTCTAAAGTGACCATAGTCAATAATCATTTTCGGGTCAGCCCAAAAAATATTTGTAATATGCTTTTCAACATCCAACTAGATACCATAGTAAAATGATGAATTTTTAACCATTTCTAACCGAAAATAATTCAACAAACTATCAACTTCACCATATCTCAACTCTCGTTGCCTCCTATCACGATGTAATTTTTTTTGTCTTGCCGAGTGAGTGAACCCCAAATTTTCCCTTCTACATGCCTGAGTACTCATAAGTTCATATGAATCTTTAAGTAATATCTCACAATCTGNCAACAAACTATCAACTTCACCATATCTCAACTCTCGTTGCCTCCTATCACGATGTAATTTTTTTTGTCTTGCCGAGTGAACCCCAAATTTTCCCTTCTACATGCCTGAGTACTCATAAGTTCATATGAATCTTTGAGTAATATCTCACAATCTACTGTCATGTCAACATGAATGTCTTGCACAGTAGAAACCTTCTTTTGGGATCACATGATATGCACACATTCCTAAAGGTGCAATGGATGATTGTGATCATCCTCCCATTTGACCAGAATAAATTTTTCAATTTCCCGATTGAGAGATATGCACATGTGAGCCGGACATTTGATTCGTGTCTCAGCTCGTGACTTTATTACTTTTCAATCCCTTTTAGCCATATCTCTTTATCCCTCTTTGCAACAAATATGCTTTCTATAAATCATGATCTGATCTTTCTTACTTTTATTGTGATAGTCTTTTCTCACGCTAAATCCGACCGAATCTTCATATTTGTTATAAAATTCATAAGGATCTTCATACGAGTCAAACTGCATATCAATACTTGGAGTGTTCACAATTTTATTAATCACAACGGNCTTTCTATAAATCATGATCTGATCTTTCTTACTTTTATTGTGATAGTCTTTTCTCACACTAAATCCGACCGAATCTTCATATTTGTTATAAAATTCATAAGGATCTTCATCCGAGTCAAACTGCATACCAATACTTGGAGTGTTCACAATTTCATTAATCACAACGAACTTCAATTCGATGTCAGTACCTGGAAAAAAAAATGGACTAACTAGTGTATCAACACTAAAACAAGCTTCAATGTATTTTTAAAATTATTT